TGTTCATGGGTACAAAGACATAATACATGTTTAAAGGGTAACAGGGAATGCCTTGAGGGATTGAAATAAGTAAGGATATGTTTTGCATACTATTCTTATTTTAACTGACATTTTGTGTTATTCAATGAATGAACCTGGTAGAGTCAATATCAAAGTCAACTCTAGATACACGAGATCAGAGCAATTCAATAATGATTAGAATCTTACAAGCCTCAACCACCTGAAGGCAAGGTCCTAAAGCAATTTTCTTCTTTTATTCCTCGGTTGTTATACTACTTATTACAAGGAATCCTCGTTTACCAACGTGTTTTCGTAATGCTTAATTTATTGATGTCATCCCAGTTTAGCGATTTTTCTTGAGACAGTTTTTAAAAAGACATTATCTTTGTCATTTTTTTAACTCCTAAGATAAATATATGCATTTTTCCGCTTTCCAAATAGCTCACAATGAAATTTTGTCATATATACGTAATATATTTTTCTTTTTCTTTTTTAGCTCACCTGAGCCAAAGGCTCAAGTGAGCTTTGTCCGTTGTCTGTCGTTGTCGTCGTCGTCGTTGTTGTAAACTTTTCACATTTTCGACTTCTCAAGAACCACTGGGCCAATTTCAACCAAACTTGCCACAAAGCACCCTTGGGTGAAGGGGATTCAAGTCTCTTCAAATGAAGGGCCACGCCCTCATTCAAGGGGAGATAATTGGGAATTAATGAAAATTTGGTGGTATCTTTTAAAAATCCTCTTCTCAAGAACCACTGTGCCAGGAAAGATGTAACTTATGGGGAAACATCCTCAGGTAGTGTAAATTCAAGTTTGTTCAAATCATGATCCCCGGGGGTAGGGCGGGGCCACAATGGTCGACCAAAGTTTTACATAGAAATATATAGGAGAATTCTTTGAAAATCATTTTCACAAGAATAACAAAGCCATAATTGATCATATTTATATGGAAACATCCTCAGGTAGTGTAGATTCAGATTTGTTCAAATCATGACCCCCGGGGGTAGGGCGGGGCCACAATGGCCAACCAAAGTTTTACATAGAAATATATAGGAAAATTCTTTAAAAATCTTCTTCTCAAGAATAACAAAGCCATAATCTTATATGGAAGCATCCTCAGGTAGTTAGATTCAACTTTGTTCAAATCATGACCCCAGGGGGTAGGGCGGGGTCAAAATGGCCAACCAAAGTTTTACATAGAAATATGTAAGAAAATTCTTTAAAAATCTTCTTCTGAAGAATAACAAATCAATAATTGATCATATTTATTTGGAAGCATCCTCAGGTAGTGTAGATTCAAGTTTGTTCAAATCATGACCCCCGGGGGTAGGGTGGGGCCAAAATGGCCGACCAAAGTTTTACATAGAAATATATTGGAAAATTCTTTTTAAATTTTCTTCTTAAGAATAACAAAGCCATAATTATCATATTTATATGGAAGCATCCTCAGGTAGTGTAGATTCAAGTTTGTTCAAATCATGACCCCCGGGGGAAGGGCGAGGCCACAATGGCCAATCAAAGTTTCACATAGACATATATAGGAAATTTCTTTAAAAATCATCTCATCAAGAATAGCAAAGCCATGGTTGGTCATGGCTACTTTTGAATATAAATTATTCAATAATAAACCAATTTCTACTTTTTCCCCAGCCACAGTGCTCAGGTGAGCGATGTGGCCCATGGGCCTCTTGTTATAATTGCAATTTCTAAAGAAAGTTCTGGAATAGTTATCCTCGTCCGTTCTTCCTTTCGTCCATCAATCTGTCGCTTTATCTTTTTCCTCAAACTCAGATTACTCTTCTTACATCTTAGGCAGTGTTCCTTTCTTAATTTCGAATATTGCTAGTGATGTTATGAATATGTGCAATAATATTAAATATTAATTTATTTTCACCCTGGGTCAAAAATAAGGGGTAAAACAGACATTATAAAAATTCGGGTTCCTTAAATCCCTCATATATTTTAAATGGCTTTTGTAGAAGTCCATTCATATTTTTTCATATGATTGCTGTGTCCTGTAAATGTACAATACTTTTTACTTATACGTAAACCTTTCTAAAACTTTCTAGACATAATTCACTTTATTAAATTCTGTTGTTTCAGACTGATAATGCATTTGTTAAAGGAAGTACTTAAGAATGGGTCAGATGCTCACATGAGCATTGATACATATACACTGATTTACTTAGTGTAAATTTTAGAATTACTGTGACCTCTTCCCTGATTACCCAAATATGAAACAAATAACATTTAGAGACAAACACGCAGTGAATTCTTTGTATCTGTCAAACATTCTTCTTACATGAAATTGCATTAGAACAATTCAATAATATCATCTAATAATTTTATATTCAATGGTATTAATTACATATTCTTTTGAATTTTATCATGTTTTTGCAGACATGGGACAACCCTTCTTGTAGAGTAAGACCAGGCATTTTTTTCGGTTGTGTTTCCTACAGATTACCGAGAACACTTTCGTCATGTGACTGTCGGCTGTGTGAATATTTGCCCTCTTTCTCTTTTTCATTACTATGAATTCAATTCAATTCAATTGTGTCCGGTGAAATAAAAGGTATATATCATAAACATAATTTAAGCTCTTTATTCTTATTTCGGAATTTTAGTAAAAAAAAATTCGAATTCTGATATACATGTAATTGAAACTGCGATCATATTTTAATAGTACTTCCATTATACTATTTTGATCTGATTGCGACAGTTTATATGCATCTTTAGTAATGTTGACGATCACTTTGAGGATTTAAAGTTTATACATCAGTGTTATTTTAGCTTGAGAATGGTACTTTTGCTAACTACACTTTTCTATCGTTGAAATATTTTTACAGGGTTCGGTACCGGACGTTAGAAGAGCGATGGAAGTAAATTTATGCAATGCTAGTATCTGCTGTGTACTCAAATAAATTAACTTCTTTATATTCCTAACATGTTCTGACTTTAAGATGTAATAACTCTCTGCTATAAAATTTCTTCTTTTTTTTAAATTCGCAAAATTGTGGCCACACCTTACCCCTTGGGGTCATGATATGAACAAACTTGAATTAAGTCTAACTGAGGATGTTTTCATATTAATATCACCAATTATAGCTTTGCTGATCTTGAGATCATTTTAAAATGATTTTTCTTATGTATTTAATGTAAAACTTTGATCGGCTATTGTGGCCCCGCTATACCCTTGGGGGTCGTGATTTGAAGAAACTTGAATCTACACTACCTGAGGATGCTTCCACATTAGTTTCATCTTTGCTGGCCCAATGGTTTTGGAGAAGATTTTTAAAGATTTTTTTCCTATATATATGTACCTATGTAAAACTTTGATCAGCCACTTTGGCCCCACCCTACCCCTGGAGGTCATGGTTTGAACAAACTTGAATTTACACTACCTGAGGATGCTTTCACATGAGTTTCATCTTTCCTGGTCTAATAGTTCTGGAGAAGAAGATTTTTTATAAAGAAATTTCTATATATTCCTATGTTAAACTTTGATCAGCCATTGTGGCCCCGCCCTACCCCCGGGGGTCATGATTTGAACAAACTTGAATCTACACTACTTGAGGATGCTCCCACATGAGTTCATTTTTCCTGACCCAGTGGTTCTGGAGAAGATTTTTCAAGATTTTTTTCTATAAATTCCTATGTTAAACTTGCCAAACCGGGGGTCATGATGTGAACAAACTTGAATCTACACTATCTGATGATGTTTTCACATGAGTTTCATCTTTCCTGGCCCAATGGTTCTGGAGATGATTTTTAAAGGATGCCATTAATTTTTCATTAATTCATAATTATCTCCCCTTGGAAAAGGGCTTGGCCCTTCCTTTGAACAAATTTGAATTCCTTTCACCCATGGATACTTTGTGGCAAGTTTGGCTAAAATTGGCCCTGTGGATCTTGAGAAGAAGATGAGAAAATGTGAAAAGTTTACGACGACGACAACGACAACAAGACGACGGACAAATTTTGATCTGAAAAGCTCACTTGAGCCTTCGGCTCAGGTGAGCTAAAAAGTTGGCACACAAGTAGATTACATTAAGATACATAAATTTGTATATCGGTTTTTAATTCTGATGAATGGTGTTGCCCTGTCTACTAATTCTGTGAAATTGCCCTGTCTACTAATTCTGTGAAATTCTTTTTTAAAATGCTACAGTTTTGGTCTGATTTCTATATAACTTGGCACACAAGTAGACTTTTGGCACACAAGTAGACTATACCAAGAAACATAATTCTGTGTATCGGTTTTTAATTTCGATGAATTATGTTGCTGTGGTTACTAAAAATAAAAATTTCTGTGAAATACTTTAAAAATGTTTCTCCAAATACAGTTTAAGTCTGATTATGATATTATGTGGTATGCAAGTAGATTACACAAACATCAGAATTGTCTTTTTTGTTATTTGATTTTGATGAATGGTTTTGGCATGGTAACTAAAATTGAAAGGTTTGTAAAATTTTTATGAAAAGGTACTCCTACAGTTGAAGTCTTTATTGCAATTTTGCCACAAAAAGAGGCTTCATCAATGATAATTATTCTTTTTATTGCTGTTATAAAGTTTCAAGTCCCAACTGCCACTCTTTTCTCTTCCTTTTTTAAGAACAAACCAGTAAAACTACAGTCTCGACAGAGACTTCCGGTTAATCTTTACGGTTTTCTGTATACCCAACGTGTAGCATTGTATTATTGTCTTCACACGAATACTAGTGTATAAAAAGTATTTCGTTTTGTTTTAAAAAGGATTTTAATAAAGCAAATAAGTGTGAAATATTAGTATACATATTATCATAATTTTTTTTTTAAATCCCCAAACTGCATGTTCAAGCTTAAGGTTTAGTAATAAATTTTCAAGTAATAATAAGGGTGTATCATATCAAGCAACTCAATACTGAAATAATTGTTTAAATTTGCCCGATATTCCTAATTTTAGCTCTGCTGGTCAAGGACCAGAAAAGCTTATGCGATAGTAATTGTTTATTGACAGAGTTATTTGAGATACGTAAATACCTTTACATTGTTAGTAATTTTTTCACCAACATAGAGATTGTTCTCATCATCTATACACACACTACAGGGAAGATGTACTCCTTGTTGTTTTGAGAGAAGAACAGAAATGAACTGACCATCCTGGTCAAGGAGATGGACTGCATTACTATGCACATCACACACAAGGATATGTCCAAGTACATCAGTACAGATTCCGTAGGGTTGGTACACTGGCTTCTGACCTGTGTACGAGAATCTGTATTGTCCCGATTTATTCACCACTATCACTGCGTGTTTAAGGATGTCTGAGGTACAGATATCTCCATTGATGTTTTCTGTTATGTAGCAGAGACTACTATACATTCCTTTTGAATGACTATCTTTCTGTATCTGCTGTATTTCTTTTCCTTCTTTGTTATATCTTGTGATTTTAACTTCATCTTCATTTCTTTGCATTCCCACCAGTATGTCCCCATTGATTTTAGAGGAATGTATGCTGAGTGGTGTCCAATCTTCTGTGGTAAAAAATTCAGTTATTTTATTGTCCTGTGCAATCCTTTTGATAACATTTTTCTCCTTGTTTGTAAAGATAAGATCCCCATCCTGTGTTACCGAGTGGTAGCCTTCCCTTCCACCACTAGTTTCTATCTTCTGTAGACAGTTCCCCTGTAGATCTGTCTGAACAAGAGTAAACAAATCACTAACCCATAGTTTCCCTGATTGCTGAGGAGATATATGCAATGTTCTACCAGCACCTGTTACTTGGAACTCCCTGACCTTGATGACAGTAGCGACTGAAAGTGACAAAGTTTGTTTTACTTTCGGTTTCAGGTGTATGTTTGATTGTAACTGTTTACTTGGAGTTTTCTGTAATTCAGAGGAAGGTTCAACCTTTATGGGTTTAATATTTCTCTTCTCTTCTTTTCCGTCTAAAATAACTATCTTCCCTAATAATTTGGCGACATCTTCTTTGGTGTATTGTGCGGGAGTAAATTCGGGGATGTTTGGTTTTTATGTTTCTGGTATGGCTTGAAATTTAAGGTTTTTCTCAGATAGCGTAGTGATAAATTTTGTGAGTTCTGATGAGGATAGATAGTCGTGGAGCTCTGTGAGAAGGCCATTGATATACTTATGTAATCCGTATACGTTTTGTCTTGGTTCTTTAATACTTCTAGCAAAGACAGTTCTATTTTATTCACTTTTTCCATATTTTCTGATACAACTTCATCAACCATCTTTTTGAGCGACTCAGCTTCCTCAACCATGGATGTCCGTATGCTCTCCATTATCACCTTTACGTCTATGACATCTTCCTTAATTTCCTTATGTAAATTTTGTGATGTTGGAAGGAAATATTCAAAGATTTCGGTAACCCTCTTTTGGCAAAGTGAAAATTTTTCTGAATAAATTGTTTCTAGATCAATGAATTTATGACCGCAATGATCTTCCATTGTCGAACACTTGGAACATAAAGGAACATTGCATTCAGCGCAGAGAATATCTATTTCCTTCGTCGGATGAAACTTGCATTTTTCCACAGGAATCTGTCGTTTGCGTAGTTGGTAAAGGACTACCTCATGTTTCTTATTAAGTGGACTTTTCAGATGCTGGTCTCTGCATTGCATACACATCCGTTGATGGCAGTGGTTGCAGTAAAATTCACAGTTTATCTTACAGCCGTCAGTGCCACATTCTAAGAAGTGTTGGGCGGTTGCTGGTATATTTTGTCTGAATTGCATCATCTAAAATTAATACAGTATTTTATATATCGTACATATATCAATTCATGTATATTAACAATAATTTAAGCAATATGGGCTGCATGTATGACATCGGAAAATTTTGTTGAAAATTTTTCATTAACTATTACAATGACAGAAAAATAAAACATTTTTATACTTCTTTAGTTCATATTTGCGATGAAAATTTTTTTATAAGCTTTGATTGAAGCAAAATTGAATTATTGTCTCCTGTACAATAATGATTTCTTACATAATACTGTATATTAGGTCATACAGAAACACTTCTTCTGAAACATTTTTAAAATTTATTTCTGGCTTATTGGTCATAAGGGTTTAGATTTAATACAAATTAATCATAATAACATATTTTACCTGCAAAATAAAATTCTCAAAAATGCAGCTCATATTGCTTTAAATTTTTGTCCTAAATATACCTCTAATGCATACGAGCGTGTTAATAATAAAAGTACAGGAATTTATGTTTTGGACATCGAAGTATTATTTAAGAAATCGTCATCACCGAAAATCGCATGCTTATTCCTAGATACTTTATAAAGATATTCACTTTTAAGTAAGCGTTATCACTACATTGAGCTAAAAAATTATTCAAAATGGTCTCTGGTAGGAGAAAAAGGCCTATATGTGTAAACGATGCGCTTTATTTAAAAACTGGCTAAAAAGGGTTAATGTATGATGAGAACCACGAATTTATGTCCACCACGAAATGTGACTTTTCACATACAGTACAGTTCTTCAACCACGAAATCAAATCCTCTTGAACCAATATATTTTCCTCACGTTACCCCAAAAATTTGACCCCTTAAAAATATGTGATTTCACAGTACATGGTTTTAATATCTGAAAGGATAAGTCTTTACAAGGATATGTGCTAAAGGCCACCTGAGCACTTTGCAATTGGCAAGGAAAATACAGAAAATTATTGAAAAGTTATAACAATATAAAAGTAGTCCAAACCTATTAGGGGGATGGGGATTTATAAATAAACTTTAATTTTTGATTTGTGTGGGTGCTTCAATATTTCTTTGACTGCGAGTAATAGCTTTAGAAAATTTTTAAAGATTATATTCCTACAGATTTTCACTACACTACCTGGAAATGTTTCTGTGCTTCTATTTAAATATGATTACCATAGCTTTGCTAATTTCGAGAAAACATTTTTTATGATCTTTCCTATATATTTCTATGTAAATTTTGATTCCCCATCGTGGCTTCCGCCTACTCCAAGGGATCAAGACTTGAACAAATTTGAACCTACACCATCTGATAATGCTTTAATATTGATATGACTAAAATCATGGTTTGTTGTTCCTGAGAGGAAGATTTTCGATGATTTTTTCCTTTTGATTCCTATTTAAAAATGATATCATCCATTGTGGTCTCATCCTACTCTAGAGGGTCATAATTCTAAAAAAAACAGAAGTCTCTGTCGAGACTGAAGCTCTACTGGTTTGAACTTATAGCAAAGGAAGAGAAAAGTACTTAAGCAGCTGGGATTTGAAACTAAATAGAATAATGATCGTTGATAAAGTCTCTTTATGTTCTTAGTGTAGTCTACTTGTGTGCCAAGTTATACTGAAATCAGACCAAAACTGTAGGAGGAGTAGCATTTTGAAACAATTTTACAGACATTTCTATTTTTAGTAACCACGGCAACACAGTTCATCAAAATTAAAATTTGATATACAGAATTATGTATCTTAGTGTATTCTACTTATGTGCCAAGTTATATTGAAATCAGACCAAAACTGTAGGAGGAGTAGCATTTTGAAACAATTTTACAGATATTTCTATTTTTAGTAACTACGGCAACACCGTTCATCGAAATCAAAAACCGATAAACAGAATTATGTATCTTAGTGTATTCTACTTGTGTGCCAAGTTATAATGAAATCAAACCAAAACTGTAGGAGCAGTAGCATTTTGAAAGAATTTCACAGAAATTTCTATTTTTAGTAACCACGGCAACACCGTTCATCGAAATCAAAAACCGATAAACAGAATTATGTATCTTAGTGTATTCTACTTGTTTGCCAAGTTATAATGAAATCAAACCAAAACTGTAGGAGGAGTAGCATTTTGAAAGAATTTCACAGAAATTTCTATTTTTAGTAACCACGGCAACACCGTTCATCAAAATCAAAAACCGATACACAGAATTATGTATCTTAGTGTATTCTACTTGTTTGCCAAGTAATACTGAAATCAGACCAAAACTGTAGGAGGAGTAGCATTTTGAAAGAATTTCACAGAAATTTCTATTTTTAGTAACCACGGCAACACCGTTCATCAAAATCAAAAACCGATACACAGAATTATGTATCTTAGTGTATTCTACTTGTTTGCCAAGTAATACTGAAATCAGACCAAAACTGTAGGAGGAGTAGCATTTTGAAAGAATTTCACAGAAATTTCTATTTTTAGTAACCACGGCAACACCGTTAATCGAAATCAAAAACTGATATACAGAATTATGTATCTTAGTGTAGTCTACTTGTGTGCCAAGTTATAATGAAATCAAACCAAAACTGTAGGAGGAGTAGCATTTTGAAAGAATTTCACAGAAATTTCTATTTTTAGTAACCACGGCAACACCGTTCATCAAAATCAAAAACCGATACACAGAATTATGTATCTTAGTGTATTCTACTTGTTTGCCAAGTAATACTGAAATCAGACCAAAACTGTGGGAGGAGTAGCATTTTGAAAGAATTTCACAGAAATTTCTATTTTTTGTAACCACGGCAACACCGTTCATCAAAATCAAAAACCGATACACAGAATTATGTATCTTAGTGTATTCTACTTGTTTGCCAAGTAATACTGAAATCAGACCAAAACTGTAGGAGGAGTAGCATTTTGAAAGAATTTCACAGAAATTTCTATTTTAGTAACCACGGCAACACCGTTCATCAAAATCAAAAACCGATACACAGAATTATGTATCTTAGTGTATTCTACTTGTTTGCCAAGTAATACTGAAATCAGACCAAAACTGTAGGAGGAGTAGCATTTTGAAAGAATTTCACAGAAATTTCTATTTTTAGTAACCACGGCAACACCGTTCATCAAAATCAAAAACCGATACACAGAATTATGTATCTTAGTGTATTCTACTTGTTTGCCAAGTAATACTGAAATCAGACCAAAACTGTAGGAGGAGTAGCATTTTGAAAGAATTTCACAGAAATTTCTATTTTTAGTAACCACGGCAACACCGTTCATCGAAATCAAAAACTGATACACAGAATTATGTATCTTAGTGTAGTCTACTTGTGTGCCAAGTTATAATGAAATCAAACCAAAACTGTAGGTGGAGTAGCATTTTGAAAGAATTTCACAGAAATTTCTATTTTTAGTAACCACGGCAACACCGTTCATCAAAATCAAAAACCGATACACAGAATCATGTATCTTAGTGTAGTCTACTTGTGTGCCAAGTTATACTGAAATCAGACCAAAACTGTAGGAGGAGTAGCGTTTTGAAAGAATTTCACAGAAATTTCTATTTTTAGTAACCACGGCAACACCGTTCATCGAAATCAAAAACCGATACACAGAATTATGTATCTTAGTGTAGTCTACTTGTGTGCCAAGTTATATTGAAATTAGACCAAAACTGTAGGAGGAGTAGCATTTTGAAAAATTGTTTACAGACAGACGGACAGACAGACAGACAGACGGACAGACAGACAGACAGACGGACGGACGCCGGACGCATTACTATCGCATAAGCTCTTCTGGTCTCTGACCAGTAGAGCTAAAAATTGAGAACATTGTTTCCTATATTTTAAACTGATCATCCATTGCGGTCCCACTCTAGCCCCTTTGGATCCAGTTTTGAAATTTTTAATCTACACAACCTGAAGATTATTTCATATAAATTAAAAATAATCAATCCTCCTTTCTTGTTAAAAAAATGTATTTTATATATTCCTATATAAAACTTTGATCGTTCATTGTGGCCCCACCCTTCCCCCGGAGGTCATAATTTGAACGACCTTGAACCTACACTTCCTAGGAATACCTCCACATATACTAATATATTATATTTCCTGGACCATTGGTTTTTAAGATTTTTAAAATTGTAAAAAGTTAAAGACGACAACAACGACGATGGACAAGGGACTTTTTTCAGAAAAGCTCAATTTAGCCTTTGGCTCAGTTGAGCTAAAAAGGATTGTTACAAAGTACAAGTTGTAGTGATCGATCAAAATCCGTGGCGACAATGAACAATTTCCGATGTTCTTAAAGCAAAATATTCATAAATGCCATATATGGAACACTAACATAGATTTACCTTAAAGATATTGGTAAGAGAGTGCACGTTTCATCATCACTTTTGAAAGAGTACTAACGAGGAAATATGAACATCAACTTAATATATTTCTATATTAGATGGATACAATTTTCTTTAATTCCCAGGAGAAAGCACTGCACTACACGTGCTAATGGCATATTAAAAGATTAACATTATTACAAAAAAGAAGGTATGATACAGCTGGTGATTTGGATGATGGCTGTCAAAACATTACTGCACTTATAATTACAGGAAATGAACATCGATTATAAAACATGAAATCAGGCAAAAATACGCCGTCTTTTTATTACGCAAGTGTCAATGTTGGTTTTTATGTTATAATAAGAAAGTTCAGTAGCTTTTCTGTAAAGCAAGTCCAAAAACTGACCCCAAAGTTAATTTTCTTATGAATGACAACGCTGTTGCAAAATGGACATTGAATGTGTTTGCAAATCTAAAAAAAAAAAAAAATGAACGTTTACAGAGCTAAGCCATCCTTTACATTCATTAGATTTAAGTCTTTGTGAGATCTTTTTATTACAAATACTCAAGAGAACGACTAATGTAAAATTTAGGTTTGTCGTGGAAAATATTATTTATCCTTGGAGCATCCTAGGAGATTAGTATGCTCAGTTGTTTTTGGATACAAAGACTTAAGACATGTGAAAAAATAAAATATGGAGGGCCAAATTAACATATTGTATATTCAAATATTTGAACATGCCTTCTTTTTTTAATTGTTCCTATCTTCAAATCAATTATATATATCTTCTATAATCAATTATAACTATCTTTAGATAAATTAACGATAGGTTTATTCAATCACAAACTTAGATTAATACTAGAACAAAAAAAAACTAGTTATATAAACATTATCTAACAAAAGCACAAACCCGGATGTATATTAAAAACATATTGTCACATCCGAGTCGTAACACATTTGCCATGTAAAGATCATTATTTTTAGGGCATAACACTCAGTAAAATTTACACGTATTCTTGCATGAGGAAGAGTTTTAGAAAAAATTAATTTCAATATCTTATATACTTACATTAGCTATGAAATCACCTAACCTGGATATAACTGACATATTGACAAAATTTGGAACGTCAGAAAGAGATTTCAAATGAGATTTGAACGAGATTTATTTTTTACTTCCTGCAATTGATACTAGTAGATTAATTTAAACTCTGCATGTATAGACACGACAACCAGTTGAAAGTATTGATTTCCTGCATGGGCAAGTTTATATACTGTAAACCAACTTTTATTCGCGGCGACTTTGTTTCGCGATCAAGCCTTTTTTTTACATCTGTTATTTAGACAAAGGGCCTTTAAGGATCGGTTCGCGGCGAGAAATATTCGCCATTTCAAGGCTCTTGCGAAACTCGCGAAAATTTCTCGTACTCAAATAAAAGTTGGTTTACAGTATATGCTTGATGCATAGTGAGTAGATCCCTAACCTTACAAATACATGTAGTTAAGACTTGTTACAAAATTCTTAAAACAGTAGTTTTATCCATTGCTTTGTGCTGGAATTTTTAATTCATTTGTTAAAAATCGAATCTGGATTTGCTGCTTCGTACAAACACTGATTTATGTATGACATGTCACAGCTTTTCAGTTTCATCTTCCTTCTCAGCAGATCGGGTTTATTTTCAAGTCTTGCTGGTAAACGCGACATATCCCGTCATTTGGACACTTTCAGAGACGGAGTAGTATCTCGTTATAACGAGTTAGTTGTTTCGTTATAACGAGATTTTTATATCTTCTCAAATATGAGCGCCAAAAAAAAAAAAAAAAAAAATACAAAAAGTTCTCAAGCATGGAAGCGTTAAAGGTATAAAAAGCAGCTCGAAACAATTGCATATTCCCAGAAAATTACATTTCTTGACAAATAAGAGACCTGTCAGAATGAGTATAAAATTTACATATAAAAAAGGGAATGAATTAATAATATACATGTACATTTAATAAGAAACTAGAGGTACTGTGAGCAATGAGCTCACTAAATGATAACCCCCCCCCGCCCGCCTCCCATATGAATATAATGGCTGTATCCATGTTTTGGTGTGGGAAACCCAAAATATAGCCTATGTCGGATCAAAAAGTAAAATAGGGGGTGCACAATGGCAATATGTAATAAAGATTCTGTGAAAGTTTTATTAAATTTCATTCAGTGAGAGGAGTTGTGGATAAGAGATGGTTACCCCAAAGTAACAGACGGATGGACGGACTGACGGACGGACATACCGATTACTATATACCCTCCCGCTTTTCAAGCGGGGGTATAAATATGAAAGCCCTAGCACTTCCTGTTCAAAAGGCCAAGGTTAAAGTTCTTTTTAAAGGTAGGCCAAACTCCAGCATGAAGGTCAAAGTTGTTGGTTTCTAAAGAATGATCTTGGCACAAGGATTACATACGTGAAGTATGAAAGCTTTAACTCTTACCGTTCAAAAGTTATGGACAAGTTTAAGAAGTTTTCCATAGTAGGTTTAAGTTCATGGTCAAAGGGTCAAAGTTAATTTGGTACCAAATGAAAGGTCTTGTCACAAGATTTCATAAATGAAGCATGTTAGCCTTAACCCTTACCGTTTAAAAGTTATGGCCAAGGTTTTTAAAAGTGGGTCAATCTCCAAGGTCAAGGTCAAAGTTGTACCAATGGAAGGTCTTGTAACAACAAATACATATGTGAAGTATGAAAGTCCGACACTAACCGCTCAGAAAAAATGGCCTAAATAAAAGTTTGGGTTTGTGTGTGAGGGTGTGTGTGTCTGTGTGTGTGTATTAAACTGTGTCAGACACCGAGGTCATGGTCAAAAGGTAAAAAATTGCATTAAAATTTGACAATCTTCTTCTCTGCTCCTTGGGTATATTTTCTTTAACAAAGGAAGTGCATAATTATAATAAGCAAGAACGTCTCTTTCAAAATTTTGAAATTCCTGGTCCCAGGGTCAGGGGTTCTTATAAAAGGATCGAGCTCTATTGATTATATCGTGAAAATGCAAAATTTCTTTCAAAATATTTTTTTTCTATTCCTTGTTAGTAGTTTTGATGAGCAAGAGTGCTTTTACAAAATTTTAAAAACTTATTGTGGTCCTAGGGATTCTGGTGGGTATTTTTGTATTCATAATATTATAGTGAAAATGTGTGATTACCTAATAATATACAAAATTGTAAGAATTCTTTGAAAATCTTCAACTAATTGCATAGCCTATGAGGAGGAGGAGGGTCTCTTCTAGAGTAAATTTCATGACCCTGGCTGAAAATGCATTATTTCTTTGAAAATCTCTGCCCCTGGACATATTGAAGGCAAGCAGAGTAAAAGATTTAATAAACAAGGGTATCTTTATCAGAATTTTGAGCATCTGGACCATTAAGTCAGGTGTTCTGGTACTGGCCAAGGCTCTATTATTTAAATTCTACTTAGCAGTTTCCAATTTGCCATTCGTCTTTGATAATTGATCTCTGTAAATAATGTACTTGAAAGGTTGATAGAATAAAATTATTATTATTGTGTAACACAAAAAAGTACTTTCATAGGTTTAATGATAGGTAGACTAGTAAATAATAAATGAATAAGAATGAGACATCAATTTACTTTTTAAATGTTCTTCAAAGGCCAATGGAGGCCAGTGTTAGAGGTAATAATTTGAGGTTAATAAATAAATAAATATTTGTTTTAGTTTCATAGTGATGAATGGGGGACAGATTAGATCAAAGACCATTGTTGTTTCTAATCATACATATATCAGTTTATGGATCCTCTAAATTGTTGAACTCAGGTGGCTGTAAAACCCTTGGACCTCTTATTAATTCAATAATTCAGATTTCTTTTGTGTGATGGATACTAGACAAGACACAGTTACAATATGTCATAAATAGTTCCATCCCAGCCACAAAGATATTGAAAGTGGGAGACCAGAATTCTTTTACTTTAAACAATAAAATGCTTTCTTTGGTTGTTAGTACAGGAATGAATGTTGCAGCTGTTGCAGAAAAAATACATATCCCGCATACTAACAACCAAAGAAAGACATTTTATTGTGTATATTTATATATGTTTAAATTATCATTTAAAGGAGGATTGAAAAGATTATTTTTTATATTATTGATATGTTCATCTTTGTACTTCCATTAATGGAACAGCTGCTGATCAAGAAATCTGTACATGTGATATGCCTAGTGTTGTTCATGCACTGATTAGTAATTAGTGATCATTCTGATGTCTCCCTTCCATTCAGTCCATAATTGTATGATATTATAACCCCTTATACAATTTTGAGTTGAGCTTGTAAAACATAGATTCTTGATATCCACATGTTCCTGTATTGGAGACAAAACAATATTCTATCCACTGTGAATCTAGTATTATAGGTATAAACTATAGATATTTGTCAACACTCAAAATAAAATGTTGCCCATTTCATGCAATATATTACAAAGTTTTAATTCAAATAAATATGTTGAGGGTAGCAAAAGTAACTATGTCCCAAAGAATTCAATCACATCTTTTATAAAAAAAAAAAAGTATTAAATCACTTCATAATTTAATGGTTTCTCATCACAATCAATACACAATCATAATGAATCTATATAAAAGCATGTACTCTATATAGTGAAATTTTCCACCTCTTTTGCCCTCTTCGTAGATGGGCAAATTTAACATAGGGCCATTTCAAAGAACACTGCATTATTTCTCAAACAGAACTATGACTATGCAAATTTAAAACTGGGCGAAAAATTGTTTGCAAGTGCAAATGGGCGAAAATAACCTTTGTAACACCTGCACTGGCTATCTGGAATTCACACATAACATAATTTGTAGTATATCAGTTCATTTTTAGACTTCATTCAATTTTATTAAATGTCCATGTAATAGTTCATACTACCCAGTATGTCCCATATTTTCACAGTACATGTACAGTCTTAGTTAAGATAACTGGCACTCTTCAATTTTTTTCATAATAATCTGTTTAACTGTCGGTGAATTTGGGTGGTCTTTTCTCTGAAAACGCCGTCATACCCTCCTTTCGATCATTCTAAAATGCAGCATAAATATTCAAGTATGAAAATGTAAACAAAATTTTACTACAAAGAGTCAATTGCCATTTATTAAAGTACAAATACTTACTGAAGCAAATGAAGCATGGAAAAGCCGCTTTTCAAAATGAAGTCCTTCTTTCAGAGACATTTCATATGCTGTCAAAGAATAAGAAAATCAGAAATTTTTAATAAACTTAAATGAAATATATAACATAATGAACCTATAGTAAGGATCTTACTGAAGCAGTTGACCAATGAAATGTGAACATAATGAACAGTTATCATTCACAAAATTCCAATGAAAAATGAAACCATGGCATCTCTAAACAGCTAGGGCACTGCCTTGCAAGAGAGAAATGTGAGGTACAAAATCAAATTGCATAAAGATTTTGTTAGAGCTTCATTATATTTTATTTTCAATATTAAAGAAATTGGGATAAAAGATGGGCATCCAATGTGTATAAATGTACATTCAGATGGACATCCCAATTAAAATATAACCCCTCCTCTTTTTAAAAGGGATAAAAGCTAAAGGGGCCTTCATCAAAGACAATGGAGATTTTGTTTTGATTATAATGAGCATGATACTACTTGAATGAGAATGTACATCTCAACATATTGAGTAAGGAAACTCATGCACACTAAGTTAACTTTTTTTCATTACATGAATATATACCTGCATTGACTGCTTCCTTGCACATTCCTGAGGCTATTTTAGAGAAGCTGCTAATTTTCTCAGCTGTTTTAACAGCCTCATTGACCAGTTCTGCTGCAGGGACAACTTTACTAACCAGTCCTATGGAAAAATCAACACTAATCAGAACAAAAATCAACAGCCAATTTTAATTTCTTCATCAAGATTTCGTATTCCACAATTTGTTAATTTCTAGTTTAATTTACCATGTGTCGAACTTAAATTCAGAACATCTTTTTCTATTCATCAATGATTGTTTTATTCCAATATATAATGTGAAACTAAAGGGACACTTGAAGAGAAGGAGGCTGAAAAAGTTGCATACTTATCCAGTGAATTTTTATTTCCACATTAATATACATGTATATGATTTTAGTACCTGCTTTCTCATTTTATTGTCACACTTATACATATGTTTTTACCTGCTTTCTCGGCTTCTACTGCAGACATCCTATCAGCTGTTAACACCATCTCCATAGCCTTAGATTTCCCGATAGCTTTACACAGTCTCTGGGTCCCTCCAGCTCCTATTTTAAAAATCACACTATAACCAGTTACATTTATGCAAGACTTTGTTTATAAACTGAACCCCTTAATTTAAATGGTATTTATGTGCGATTTTTGTGGACAATTGCCTAGCTGTCATGAGACATAAACTACTGTCTGGAAAGAATTCAATTGACACATTAACCATACATGTTAACCTATTGTGATGAAAAAGAGGGAGATTCAGACCTCAAAAGCGGTAGCATTGTGCGTGTGTTGTTTAACGCTTGGATTATCGATATCTTTCATGTAATATACATGTATATTATAAGCCTTAAATGAAATCAGGTTCCTACACTAATTAAAATTAAATATCAACAGCAAAGAAGAAGACAGAAACACCTATTTTTTATGCTCATTGTTTTGCTTGGATTGGCTGCTTTACTTGGCCTTTTGAAGAGTGATCTTTGCTGAAATAGCCTAGAAGCAATAATTTGGAATGTTCATTCAGTTTTCAAACAAATCAAATGATGGCATGGTTTAATCTTGATCTAAAACAAGTTCGTATCTTTCGTTATATAAATCAGATTTCCCGCGATGATCGAAAACGAAAGTAGAGATGTGCCACATGGCTTGGTCAATCGAGTGATTTTTATTGACTTTATTGATAAAGTTGTGAGTTTCTGTGCTTTTCATGACGATTTCAAATGCTTTCATCTAACTTTTAAAAGCTGTATCTCCTTTTTCATGGCAGGGATGTTGATTAATTTATCGTAACCAATGTAATCACTGGTAGTATTATGTTGTTGTCGTTGTCAAATCCGTGCTTGAAATCTATGTACAAAAAAAGCGTTTGTATGATTCTGAGTCGAATCACGCGATATCTAGCGAGATTTTATGAGAGTGGCTTCAAAAATGGATACCCAAGCGAACCAAAAATACTTTAGACGCAGCTTTTGTAGAAAAGCGGTAGATTTCTGAATTAAATCGGTAGGCGGGAGATGGAGTGAAAAAGCGGTAGACTCCCGCCTATATAAATCGGGAGAGTTAACATGTATGCATTAACATATTGTATAAACTTTCTTTGTCAGAGACTAGAAGGGCAAAGATCTTCAAAAAATACTTGGGGTTAAAAACTTATTCATGTTGATCAAATACTAACAAATACTTTTGTGCATCTACAGTGTAAATATTCAGTAAGCTTTGATGTAAAAAATCATGATTTTTAATAATACATGTACTTCACATTTATACTTTATTTGACTGGAACCAAGGGCTTTGCTTTATTCTTTATCAGCTTACCTGGTATGGTGCCCAGTGTGATTTCTGGTTGTCCAAACTGTGCTTTGTCACCGGCATAGATTATATCACACATCATGGCTACCTCACAACCACCTCCTAACTGCAAAAAAAAAATCTTCATTGAGAAATGTAATATAGAAATAGAGTAAGAGAGACTCTCAATTGATAGTGTTAAAATATTCCTTAATCATGAAATATTTTACACTAATTGTCACAAAACAAAGCCCAATGTATATAGATTTAATAGCCTGTCCTAAACAAGCAGAAATGTTTTCTATACATTTGTATTTGCTTCCTTAATCAGTATGCTGATTTCAACATATTTTTTGCATTTACAATGTATCATCTGCAAACTAAATGGGTGATTGGCTTCAATGCTAATTTTTGACTCTGTTCAATGTTTTGTTTATCACACTTATCATGTTTACATAGAACATGTGGAATATATACAGTGAATGATAAGGTCTTTTAACTTACAGCAAATCCATTAACAGCTGCAATCACTGGTTTGGAGCATCTTGACAAGGCATCCCATTCACTCAAGAAATTTCCTCTCCAAACTTCTGAAAATTCTTTTGTCTGCATTTCTTTAATATCAGCTCCAGCTAAATTAAAAATTCAAACCATAAAATATATATGTATATTAAAGCACAGACTACAATTTTTATTTTTATGTAATGTTACCTAGCAGCACATATACATGACATTATATATAAATCAATTTTTAAAGTTTAAATTTCTCACAGTTGTTATTTAAAATGTTGTTGTAAAGATTCCTAGACCTGCAAAGGCTCTTTCACTGATTACCTGTTTTAATACAATAGCCCCAACATCATTATCAGCTTCAAATCCCTTCACAGCTTGATCAAGCTCAGACATGAGGCCTGCACAAAGTGCATTGAGTGCTTTTGGTTACGATTAAGTTGAATAAACCAACATTGTTCTTCTCTCCTTTCTTTTCTACTATGATATATTCATATTTTCCTGTAAAAAAGAGCAAAAAATGTCAAACACAAAGGACCATGATTTCAAGAGAATTAATTAACTGTGTATAAAGCAAGTGTAATGTGTGTGTGTGTGGGGGGGGTGCAATGCTCCATAACTATATAGGATTTCAAACTGGGCCTACCTGCATTTTCAAAGATTTAGGTGCTCTACCAACTAAGCTATCTGGGCACCTAACACATTCCTCTCTCCATAATTTTAGAAGGTCCTTGGTACTAGACTAGTATTAATTTAACACTTTAGCTCAGAAGGAGCACCTGATTAATGATTTTCAGGGTTATAATCAATAAAGCCAACCACACCACATTTGCTGGGGCCACTCACTTTTTGTAGAGATTTGGTGCCATTAACCACCCTGGTTTACATGCCAGGGGCTAGATAGCAAGTTCAGATTTTCAGCTATTAACGACAATGCCTGGGCAAAGAGATAATTTGGACTTCTGCTCATTCACTATCCATAAAATTTTCCCCCAGGATTTTGGACCTATATAATGCATTGCTTCATACACAAAAGATAAAGCAACATTCTCTTGAGAATAACAAAAAAAAAAGTTAGAATAATACTGTAGAGAGAAGAAGATTTTCAAGGACACCTTATTTTCGCGATATAGTCATTGACTCTTGATAAGCGATAAATAATTTTCACGAATTGTGGTTATTGTAGTGATGGGGAGATCGGAAAAAAAATTCATGTATTTTCACTTTATCGGTAATAATCGGCTGGGCATAATCGATTAATAATTGATTATAATCGATGCATTTTGTTTATTTAATAAAATCAATATAGAAAAGTTTAAACTTATGTAATTTCACTATATTTCTGTCAGACTTTTACACACACACAAAAAAACATTTACTTACATAAAATATTCAAAAATGTTAATTGAAATTTCTTTTATAACAAGTGGAAAATAATATTTTGTTTACTTTAAATAATATAGGACTATATAAGACTATTGAAACAGAATGGGAATTTATTTTAATTTTTTTTTTAATAAAGTCATTGCAATAGGTATTTTACTATATATTAGTCCCGCCTTTCATTTAATACATGTATATTTTTCTTAAAATTAATTTTAATTAGTTAAAATAATAAAATTGCAAATTTTAAAAGTAATTATGCAGAAGTTACCCATAGACTTGTATTTATGATAATAATTACGTTTAAAGATTGACACACAACACACGACACACGACGGACGACGACGGACGAAAACGGATAATTATGTTTTCCTCAGTACCTAAAAATAAAACCTTGCAATATTAGCGTTTCAATGGGTATTATCTGCTTCAACCCCATATTTAATCATGGCGGTAAAAGTAATAAATCCAACATTGTTTTTCTCTCCTTTCTTTTCTACTGAGATATTCATATTTTCCTGTAAAAAAGTTTATCACTACTTTTATGCTCTTTGCACTTGGATTTGGTAATAAAATTAAAGTATGACAATTTTATTTTTTGTTAGCATGTCGGCGACATTTATTTTATAATCGATTAGTAGCATCGAAGAGCTTACAAATAACGACCGACAATCGACTGTCGGCGACAAGAGAGAGATCGTTCCAATCACTAGGTTATTGTTCTATATAATCTTAAGGAATACTATTATGCGCGAGAATTTAATTTTCGCATAGCTACACACAACATGTCTCACGTAATTACACGAGAAATAAACTTCTCTGTGAATAAAAAGTGATTTACAGTAATAAACTTGCCATGATTTAATGAATTTGTTGGAGAAAAATAGTCAGTAAAACAATTCTTCATTTCATCAGCCCTGTTCAGGCTTGACGATTTGGTAAAACACTGAATGTCACATGCAGTTTGACAAGCCCGATCAAATGGAATCTGATATAAGTATCTGTGCTCGCCCTAACAGTTGCATCATCATAATATTAACTAATAAGAAAGTGGGTTATGTCCCAATGGCAGCAAAACAATTGAAGAAGGGAAGAATTTTATGATTTGGGCCGTGAATATTGGCCTGGGTATCTCAGTCGGTAGAGCATCTGCCTAGTAGTATAACAGGTTCACCTGGTTCGAGTTCCCAGTCCATCCATATCCATTTTCTCCTTTTCTATATATACCCGATTCTCATTATATCGCGGGTTTCATTGTACCGCGGTATATCGCAAAAATTCTCTCGGATACATAGCCTATATTCTTTTTATTGATGGACAATCTGTATGTTGTCTGGATGTTTACTTTTTTGATGATTAAGAAGTATGGAACATCTGTTTGAAAAAAAAATATTCAAATAAAACGTAATTTATGACAGATTTCCACTCCCGTTTTTATTATATTTAGACCATTAAATTTATAACCAAATAAAAATTATAATAAAGTTCATCCTTTAAAAGTCTTTAGTTTGTACAATTGTTTATTTTTTCACTTAGAATTACAATCTAAATTCAAAAATAAAAATTTATGCTGAAATTTCCCCCTTGAGGTCCATGTCATCTACAAGTTTCCATGTTTACCCATGCCGCGATACAATGGGACTCTCCAATTTAGAAGATAAATAAGACTGCCTATTTTAAAAATAGACCTCAAATTAAACGATGCAAGATTGGAAAATAATTTTGCACTAAAAAGTTGGGCCATAGTTAGAATTATAAATATCATTTAATATAAGTTAAATTAAAAAATTGAAATTATACTTTTTTACGCAAAAGAATTTTTTTAAGTACCACGATATAATGAGACACCGGTATATATATATACACTTGCAAACAGTTAGTTGACAGGCAGAAGAAATAACCATAATCATCATGTTTTTCTATCTGCTCAGGGGTCATGATGGAGAAATATGCAATGCAGCTGTAAAAAGGATATGAGATTTTTTTTGAAAAAGGAAATTCGGAATGCTAACGACCTTTGAGCTGCTACCTGTAACATTGATATTTACTTCAAAGGAAGATATGACAACATAGATTAAAGTTTGCTACATGTTACATACCTGTTGACATCCATCTAGAAGACAAGGGGACTGCAGAAAACTTTAAAGAAGATTGTCCACTGAATAAAAATTGTCTGCATAGCCGTGCACCTGTTTTCAAGCAAGCCATTTTGAATGGTCTTACTAAGTTACGAAAAAATCGTGAGAGAAAAATAGATCACAAAAAAGTTTATTTTTTAAAATTGTATCTTAAAATAAAAAGTTATTAATGACATAAATTCAACATCTTAATTTAATAAAATTATCAGAATTAATATTTTATTTAAGCAAATATATTTCTAATTTACTTCTCCTTATTTAGCCGAATCAGCATAAGCATCTTTTCGATACAGATTGATCCAACATCTCTTAAACGTTTTGTCGTGTTATTTGGGGGTGTGTTGTTCAGTAGCAGAAAATACTGTCACATTCCACATGAAAATGAAAGCAAATACGTATCGATAGTTGGAACACGTGTATTATGGATTTATCCCTCGGTAACTCGTATGGTAACGGCTTGCTGTATGCGGGCTGGAACCAAGATCAAGGTAATTATATCCCCTTCACTGCACCTTGGTCGCTTTTTGTTTACAAAAGTTTGAAGAGCTTTAAACACTCATGATACAGTGTCATATACTTATATATTATTTGGAAGAATTTGAAGTAAATTATTCATTTAAAGGTATGAAGAACGTTTACTTAGCGTGTACTATGTTCAACAGAAAAGACACTCAGGTTTTTAATTTTAAAAAATGATAAAAGTTATTCAAAAACATAGACAGTTACTTTCAGAGTATATACTAAACCTGTCCAGAGTTGTTGAAAACTGTCGTCCATGCTAACAAAATTTATTAAAAATGCATGTGACTGGTCAAAATGCTATCGATGCAAGTCCAAATGATCGACCCTTATTATTTCGTTAAGTTTTGATTTTGTTTTTCTTTTTATTATCAGCACACTTCTGGCCTGATTATCATGTTAATATTCATGTAAAGTGCACTTTCTTTGCAAAAGATTGAGGCTAATGAAAGCAAAGTTAGCATGGCCTCTTGGCCCATTAGATCAACCACTGGAGTGAAACCAGGTAAAAATATTAGGTAACAGGATGATGAAGACAAAGATAAATATGGAAAATCTTTACAAAATGAATTTAAACACACAGCAGGGGTAATCCCTAAATCTATCCCGATGATCCCGGATTTCGGTTTTTCATTGATCGTGTTGATATCATTATTATCGATGCACAGTATAATGAATTTATTCAAATTTTTTAGACACATTTTCTAGGTTGATAATATAAATTCCCAGATACGTAAATGTTTCATCAAAATTCTATGTATTATGCTGAATTAGCACAGTCACTTATTCAAAAGTGGTAAATTTAGAAACTGTGTTATAAATGCAGAAACTGAAAACAGACGAAGATTTAGAAATGGAGACTGTTATGAAGTAAAAATATGTGTACAGGGAAATGAAGCAAATAAATTTAAATTTTTCCCCTCTTTCTGGGAGGTATTTTTATGACTTAAGATTTTGGCCTGGCTAAAATCACTTTGGACTGGCTTACCAGGTTTTTCATCTTCTTGCCAGTCCAGTTGACTGTCTTCTTGCCAGTCCAATTGACTGGATGTCTGAAAAAGTTTTCCACAACTGTGCTGTCAATGTATCTATCATTTCATTGAATCTGGAGCATTGGGCATCTGTTATAGATGGATTCGTCATTCCTTTTTGCATGTTACTATTTATAGCACTTCTTTAAACTGCATCTCATGGCATTTAATTATCCCATTATTTATGATTACTAAAATATTTTATAGTAGTTAAAATTCTCCCAATCATGCCAGTGTTGATGACTTTCTGTCCCTCAGGATTAAGATTCTTAACTTTTCAGGTCAGTCTTCATCCATTTCATCAAAATCTGAAAACCTTGAGATTCTTTCGTTTTCATTGCTGAAAGATTAATAAATTGAACTTCAATATGTGAATCATAGTAATCTAGAAAAAAACCACACTTTCTAAATTTCTTTTAATTTCAGTTTTTCAGACACTGATATCTAGAAGTTTCTTCTTAGTCCCATTGAGATTTGGTTTTACTGTTAACAGTTGTTTTTTAAAAGGTTTTATGTTAACAGTTTTTATTTTAAACTTTAAATGAGATTTTTGTATTTACAGGATGCTTTTTGTGGAATGGAAACAGGGTTTCGGTGTACAATTCAGATCCTCTGAAAGAAAAAGAGCGACAAGGTTCGACACCACCCCTTTTTTCATTAATTACAAACAATTTAACTTGAGCCATTGTACCATTTTATATTTGGGTTATATCAAACTTTTCTATTATTTATATTAAGTAGGACTTACTAGGACAAATTTCCTATTCCAAGAAAATTTTTTATGTAATCGCTGATGGTGGGATTCATCACATCGAGATGTTATTTAGGTGCAATTACTTGGCTTTGGTTGGTGGGGGTAAAAAGTACTTCTGCAGTACATTAAGTGAATCATATTATACCATATTGTAAAGATACATCTTAATTAAATTCATAAACTGTACACAAACATTTTCTTTATATATAATACTATCTTTTGAAAATATTACATACACAAGTGGAAAAAATGTATAGGGTAATCCAAATACAGTGAAAACTGTCTATCCGATACCTGTGTAATCCGACACACTGTGAATTCTGATGTTTACTTTTGTTCCCTTTTTACCCTCTGATTTCCATGTTTCGTACACTATGTAATCGGACATCCTGTCTAGGTTTGACATTTCACATTCCATTTTGTGATCACATCAATGACATACAAATAAACTTGAGCCATTGTACCGTTTTATATTTGGGCTATATCAAAGTTTTCTAATTAATTTTATTTACATAATGTTGACAAATATACAGGTTAGATGAAATGTGTCACTTAGTTTAGTTTAGTATATAGTTTCAATTTTATCTATTATATCTATATGACTAGTAAATAAAGATAAAAAACATTATTTTTTGAGGGGTGTTCAATATTTTGTCTTATGGTTTTCAATAAAAATTAGATCACTTGATCTGGTCATCCATGAATGAATATATCTTTTATTGACATTGTGTTACTTGGCTTTGGTCTGTGCACTCTGAAACACAGACTTACATTTGCAACTGACCCCCCAACTTCAATTATGGGTATGTGCAGTCATTGAAATAATATATTCTTGCTCATTGTGCCATTGGTATAGAACGGAATTAAATATATGAAGAAATTGTTTCATAAACTGATACACAAACATTTTCTTTATATATAATGCTTCTTTAAGAGTGAAACATTTCCGATGACAAACATTCAGAAAGACCACCAAGATTCAAAAAAATGTTTCCAAAATCTGTGATATTCTTAAGACAAATGCATGACTTACCATCAAAGAAATAGCAAGATGCGTAGGAAATACAGTGTTTTTAAAAAAGCTAAATTAAAGTACCATAATATTTGTGCAAGGTGAATTTAACACACCAAAGCTCAGAAGAGGGATCATTTGCAAAAGAGCCAAAAACTTTTGAAAATGTTTAAAATTCCACTATTTTACACAGGTGATTTTGGGTCCATTTTCTTACCAAAAAAAAAGTGTAATTTTGGAAAGAATATGAAGAGGCCAACAATTGCAGAAAGAACTCAAACTTCTAAAAAGCTTATATGCAATATTTTTCAACTCAAATGGCTTGGTAGTCCAATTTCATGCAGTCCCACACATTCTCGGGCAGAATGTGATCAAATATGTATTCTTCAAGTATACTACCGAGACTTTATCATTTTTACAAAAAAAGATGACCTAATACCGGTTTGAGAGGCATTAAACTTCTGCATGACAATGCTCCTGCCCAAATAGCAAAAGTTACTTGAGACTATTTACAGCGTCACAAAGTTGTTGAACTTCCACATCCTGCATATTCACCTGATCTCTCTCCATATGACTTTTTCTTGTTTGCAAAACTAAAAGAAGCTCTCTTTTTCAATTGCGGTCAGCACTAGGATCAGCTATTTTTCAATTTAAGGGGTATACCACAAAAAAACTTACAAAAAGATGTTTTTTGAATCAAACGACTTCATCTCTGAATGAAACATAAGGGAGATTACTTTGAAGAAATGCAATAAATGCACAATGTGTCAATTTAACATTTTCAATTTTGTTTTATATCTATATGACTGTAATATGGATTTCAAACAGGTAAAGGTATGTTCTATTTATATAGATAAATTTAGAATATTTCCTGTTCTTATTGTATTGCCCTTCTCTCTACCTTAAAAATGTTTATGTACGAGAACTTCATTGAATCTTGATTTATTTTTATCCATTAGAAAGTCCATTCACCTAGATGATCAATTAATTCATATTATACATAGACCTTAAACTACAAAATTATCTGAATAAAATTGTTTTTGTTGACTACAGGATTGTGGTGGTATTAGATACATTAATCAAAGTGTACACATTTACCCAGAATCCACAACAGCTTCATGTCTTTGAGACATGCCCTAATCCTAAAGGTATGGATTGTATTTTATTTTCCATATTTCTCAATTCTTGTTTTGGCAAGTGTTTTCTTTTTTTTTAAAATTATTAACTCTTTGTTGATATAAACTTCAGGACTTTGTGTATTGTGCCCAAATAGTAACAACTCCTTGCTGACTTTTCCTGGGAGAAAAACGGGCCATGTCCAAATTGTAGATTTGGCCAACACAGAAAAATCGGCCACCGATATTCCAGCTCATGAGGCCCCGCTCAGTTGTATAGCCATGAACCTTCAGGGAACCAGGCTAGCAACAAGCTCAGAAAAGGTAAAACAAATTTTTTTGCCCTCCTTCGAAGAAAGGTGGGCATATTGCTTTGCTGCTGTCTGTTGGTTGGTTGGAAGCCAGGTCAGTCGGTCTGTCGGTCCACCAAGTTCTGTTCTTTTCCTTTGCAGAGGTGGCTCATACTGAAATGAAATTTGGTATACAGATTTATTATAGAATATCTATATCAAGTTCTCCATTGGGTACAATTTAGCAATTTTTAAGAGAGTTATGCCCCCTTGACTTAGAAAAATTTTGGTAATTTTCATTTCCCTCTCATTTTTTTCTCATGTATTTCCATGGGAGAGGGGGGCTTAAGTGTTTCACAAACATCTCTAAACTTGTTTTTTAAAATCCTTCCATTTTTAGCTCACCTGAGCCGAAGGTTCAAGTGAGCTTTTCTGATCAAGATTTGTCCGTTGTCTGTAGTTGTTGTCGTTTTAGTCGATGTTGTCATCGTTGTCGTTAACTTTTCACATTTTCATCTTCTTCTCAAGAACCACTGGGTCAATTTCAACCAAACTTGCCACAAAGTATCCTTGGGTAAAGGAGATTCAAGTTTGTTCAAATGAAGGGCCAAGCCCCCTTCCAAGGGGAGATAATTATGAATTAATGAAAAATTAATGGCATATTTCAAAAATCTTCTTCTCTTGAACCATTGGGCCAGGAAAGATGAAACTCATGTGGAAGCATTCTCAGGTAGTGTAGATTCAAGTTTGTTCAAATCATGACCCCCCGGGGGTAGGGCGGGGCCACAATGGCTGATCAAAGGTTTACATAGGAATATATAGGAAAAATCTTTAAAAATCTTCTTCTCCAGAACCACTTGGCCTGAAAAGATGAAACTCATGTGAAAGCATCCTCAAGTAGTGTAGATTCAAGTTTGTTCAAATCATGACCCCCGGGGGTAGGGCGGGGCCACAATGGCTGATCAAAGTTTTACACAGGAATATATTGGAATTTTTTTGTTTAAAATCTTCTTCTCCAGAATCATTGGATCAGGAATGATGAAACTCATGTGGAATCATCCTCAGGTAGCGAAGGTTCAAGTTTGTTCAAATCATGACCCTCGGGGGTAGGGTGGGGCCACAATAGGGTATCAAAGTTTAACATAGGAATACATAGGAAAAATCTTTAAAAATCTTCTCCAGAACCAATGGGCCAGGAAAGATGAAACTCATGTGGAACCATCCTCAGGTTGCGATGATTCAAGTTTGTTCAAATCATGACCCCCGGGGGTAGGGTGGGGCCACAATGGGGTATCAAAGTTTAACATAGGAATACATGGGGAAAATCTTTAAAATTCTTCTTCTCAAGAACAGCAAAGCCATGATTGGTTTTTGCTTTTACCTAGCCAGTTGCTCAGGTGAGCGATGTGGCCCCTGGCCTCTTGTTCAGTTTTTTTTTATATACATGTATGTATGAAAATATTTTAAGAAAGAAAATATTCAGTAACCTTTCTTGATTTCACATCAGGATTTTACTTTTAGCATTGCAGTGGTAAAAAATGGGTTTACTTGTGGAAGAAGTCATTTCCATCAGCTCAAACTTTTTACAGTTTATCAAACTTGTACTTGCCTTATTGAAAGGAGGTCAAGTTATTAAAGATGTTTAATGTCAAAGATTGATTCATACAAATACACAGTTTTACAATTATTGCTATCGTTTGATTTCAGGGAACTCTTATTCGTGTCTTTGATACTCATTCAGGACTCCAGTTACATGAACTAAGGAGAGGTGCTAACAGTGCTCATATCTACTGGTAGGTTTACAATAAAGTCTTATTGGTCAAGATAAAAGTATTATTTATATCAGGAAGTGACTGGTATTTAAGGTTAACTTCCCTCTGTTTACTCATGTAATATTTTGCTTTACTGCTGACAATTTTCAAAACAAATCTAGCTCATTATTAAAAAAGCATACATGTACAATTTTGATTGTGGGGCAAATATTTTGCAAAATTGGCCCTTTAACTGTATTTTTCGGTCACCTGAGTAAACTCAGGTGACCTATTGCTATCCCTTTTTGTCCGTCGTCGTTCATCTTGCATCGTGCGTTAACATTTGAACATTTTCAGCTTCTTCTCTGAAACCGCTGAACCAATTTCAACCAAATTTGGCATATAGCATCTATGGGTGATGGGGAACAAAAATTTTGAATTTCATGGTCCCTGCCCCCCTGGGGCCTGAGGGGTGGGCCAAAAACCACTAAAATTAGTGCAATCTTTAAAAATCTTCTTCTTTACTCCTGGACATCAAGCAGTCAATGGTATGATTGTAATCAGCATTGAGTCCTCTACCAAAATTGTGAAATTCATGGCCCCAGGGTCAGGGGTTCTAGTGCTAGGGTGGGGCTCTATTGATTATATAGTGAAAATGTGTTTATTCTTTAAAAATCTTCTTCTCTGCTCCTGGGTATTAAATAAACTAACTAAGTACATAGTTATGATGAGTATGAGAGACTCTTCTAAAATTATGAATTTTATGGCCCCAGGGTTAGGGGTTCTGGTGTAAGGGCAGGGCTCTATTGATTATATAGTGAAAATTCATTATTATGGCCCCAGGGTCAGGGGTTCTGGTGTTAGGGTGGGGCTCTGTTGATTATATAGTGAAAATGCATTGTTTCTTTGAAAATCTTCTTCTCTGCTCCTGGGTATTAAATAAACTAACTAAGTACATAGTTATGATGAGTATGAGAGACTCTTCTAAAATTATAAATTTTATGGCCCCAGGGTCAGGGGTTCTGGTTAGCTGCAGGTCTGTAGCTCTCCGAAAAAAATATATTGATAGACCGGAGAGCTACAGTGCCACCCATCGAAAAAACTATATTTATTGCGCACAAAAAAGTGCGCTCGGTTCTCGATTTATTTCTCCATGTTTTTCAAACTGTAATCTCAAAATATTTCTAACCGTGTGTTCCTAACATATTCTTTTGCTTTTTCCACAACCAAACATTCCTCATAATTGTTGTTAATAGTCCTCCTGACCTTGATATTGTAATCATCGAACATTTCGCTTATTTATACTGCCATTTTGGTTTCAAAGATAATTCGGTCCAATATGCTTCGTTCGGATGTCAACTACGAGAGTACTATATATAGAAGATAAAGAAATTTTTTGAAATCTTTCCTTATTTGCAATTGAGGTAAGAATTTGGAAGAATTAATTAAAATAAAGCGCACTTTTTTGTGCAATAAATATACAGTTTTTTCAAATGGGTGGCACTGTAAATTTCTATCAATATATTTTGAAATATGTGAGCTCCAGGGTGCAGCTAGGGTTCTGGTGTAAGGGCAGGGCTCTATTGATTATATAGTGAAAATGCATTCTTTGAAAATCTTCTTCTCTGCTCCTGGGTATTAAATAAACTAACTAAAATAAGTACATAGTTATGATGAGTAAGAGTGACTCTTTCACAATTGTGAATTTTATGGCCCAAGGGTCATGGGTTCTGGTGTTAGGGTGGGGCTCTATTGATTATATAATGAAAATGCATTATATCTTTGAAAATCTTCTTCTCTGCTCCTGGGTATTAAATAAACTGCTAGTAATTTAGTATTACATTATAATGCCTCAACCAAATTTGTGAATTTCATGGCCCCTGTGTCAGGGGTTTTGCCATTCGGTGTAAGGAGGAGGGGGGGGGCTCTTTTGATTATGTAGTGAAAAATACATTAATTCTTTGAAAGTCTTGTCCTTTGCTACTGGGTATTATGTCTATGATCCAAGTTTATATATTTATGAGGAAGAAAGGTGCATTTAGCAAAATAGTTAATTTCATGCCCCCTGGGTCAGGGGTATCAAAGGGGGGGGGTTATATAGTCTGAAAATAAATTAATGCTTTGAAATCTGCTCTTTTGCATTAATAAATCATTTATGATGAAATAAAATCTATGATAAATTTCCAAAATTTTGAAATATGTGGCTCCAGGGTCAGTGCTTCCTTTGGGGTGGGGTGCACAACTAGTTATAAAGTGGAAGTGCATTTTCTCTTTGTTACTCTGATCTGCCTCTTGGTATTAAGTAAATAGAGTAAGCATGCTAAGTTTATAATTATGATAAGCAATGGTGCCTCTTTTAAAATTGTGAATTTCATGGCCTCTGGTTTAAAACATGAACCAAATTCAATTGTTGGAAAGTTGTTACGTGATACTCAGGTGACCTATAAGGCCCATGGGCCTCTTGTATAGAGAAATGATAATGATTCAACTACAATGTATCATCCTATTTGATTAAATATCAGAATTTTGTTCATTTCGGACAAGGTACATATTTCTCTTCCCTTATTGCAGTATTAACTTCAATCAAGATTCCAGTCTCTTATGTGTAGCCAGTGATCATGGAACAGTGCATATCTTTTCAACAGAGGATCCAAAAAAGAACAAACAACTTGGGTAAGATAATATTAGCTGCAATGGATGTTATTCTGTATACAAAATAAAAAATATTGGTCTCAAAATGAAAAACCCGTGTCATGTTCAGAAATGTAAATGCATCAATAATTTATCAAATACTTGTACAAAAGAAATGGTCCCGGTTTGTTTGCATATACAGTTGAACTTCAGTATCTTGAACATCAATATCTGGAATCCAATGGATATCGAGAAATTATCTGGAAGACTCAACAACTTATTATTGAGATATTTTACCCTCGATATCTTGAATTCTTGAACATCAAGGTCAAAACAAGTTCAAGAAAATTGAGATTGACTGTATTAACTTTTTAAAAAATTCTAGCTTAGTAATAGGGATAATCAGATCAGATTTGGTAAAATCAAAAGTAACAGAACTTACTGTAGTTTGGGTGTACATGCATAATTATTTAATTTAAAACTTGAATAATCTTGACAGATATTCAATATTTTGTACTAAGATATTGCTGTTATATTTAACAGGATAGGCTCTGCCAGTTTTCTTCCCAAGTACTTCAGCTCTACATGGAGTTTCTCCAAGTTTCAGGTTCCTGGAGGGGCACGCTGTATCTGTGCCTTTGGGGCAGACCCCAACTCTGTCATAGGTACTTCAATGAATTTTCTTGAAAAACTTAATTCAAATATTTTTTTAAACATTAATTTTTTTTACAAGAATAAAATTCATTTTAGCCTTATGCATTTTAATTTAGCACTTCACTGTCATTTCATTCCTTTTCATCCATAAAAAAAATTCATTTCAGAAATGAATTTGACGATATAGTCTACCACATATGTATACGGAGAAGTCAATTAATAAAACATAGAAATAAGAATCTAGTGAAATTATTGGAAGGAAATAAACTGAAACTTGTTTTGAAAATTATATATGTAGGTCTGAAACAAATGTTGAAAGATTTTTTTTTACATGTATTCTATTCCTTCTGCTGATTCAGTGAACTTTTTTTAACAGATGAAAGATAAACTAGATTTAACATAAAACTGTCTCTTCTTTTCAGTTGTTTGTGCTGATGGAAGTTATTACAAGTTTGTGTTCAACCAGAAAGGAGAGTGTACGAGAGATGTGTATGCCCAGTTCCTGGAAATGACAGATGACAGATCATAAACCATCTAATATAGCTACAACGTAGCTCAGTCAAAACAGCCATTTCTCCCCTCACCAAATGTAGTGCATTGCCATTTCTTGCAATATATTGTATCAGTCTAAGTTTATTTTATTGAAAAGCTAGTGTTTGGCTTGGTAGTTTAAAAATTTCAACAATGAAACAAAATATGGGATATTTCCAAAACAATTTTTTCACTATTCTTTTTCTTTGTGATAATTGCAAGAAGTGAAAATGATTTTGAAATGAAATGTAAATTTTATCAAGGAAAATCTATATTTTCAAGACACATTTCACAGTTTATTTTTATATTGAGAAAAATGGGTATTTGCTTATGCTTTTATAATTCTTTTCTAACCATTTATTGATGCCAAAACTAATAGGTATTTAAATGTACATGTATGGGTGTGAACAGTGCAATGTGACATCATCATTTGACATCATACGCCCAAGGTAATTTTTTTTGTAGCTGTACAATCTTGTAACAATCATTTGGATGCTGCTTGAATATGTTCGACAAATAAAGTACACTGTATAATTTGAAGAGAAAATTATTTCTTCATACAGTGTATTTTACAATTTAAAGTTCAAAGATAGTACTTTTTAATCCATTTGATTTGTTATGAAGAAGAAAAGGGTATTCAAATGCTTTGTTTTATTTTTATTTCTTTTGATTGATAAATTCACAAAGTTTTGTAAATACTGGACAAAAACAGTGGTTACCTCTTAATTTTCATATTCATGCAATGAAGAATTTTTGTTGATTTTGGCATTTTGTTAGCTCATATGATTTGATGTGAACAAGAAGCTATTTTTTTTTTTTATTTCTGTACAACTTGTAGCTTTATAATGACATGTATATACAAGAGTTTGAAATATATACTTACAGTGGTCAACTATTTCATGAAGATTTTTTTTATCTATAATAAACAAGAAACAAAACACATTCCTAAGCATTCAAGATGACAGAATTGTTGTACATTTCTTGATTTATTGTTTTACTAAACACATAAACTGTACTTGTGCAATATTTGTAATCATTTATTGAGTTCAAGAGTGTTTTCTTTCTTACCAAAGTACAAATAATTGATTCACCTTGCATTTATTAAATATTCTTCTTTCTGAGACAGTGTTTTGTTCAATTATGTACTGGTATATGCTCTATATGTACATGTGTAAACTTTAAATCTAATACAGTTTTTTTTGCCAACATTGTTAAACATTTTAAAAGAATAAGGTGTATTTCAAGGTTGTTTCTGTTTTATGTACTCAAATTGTTTTCCCATTCATTCGTCTAATTTTTCTAAAAGTAAGGCTGCTATATTTAGTCTGTCAAAATTCATATTTTTAATGAAAGGTATTTTTTGTGAAAACATGATTACATTAATTGACTTGTTCATTTGCTGTTTGGTTTTATTTCCAGTCACCATTCATGTGGAAATTTAAGGGTACAAAAGCAAACTTTTTTTTCCTGAGTTGAATGTATTCGATAAGTTAATGTCCAAGTACATCTGACCAGTCCTCAAAATGATAGAGCTGGTGCCCCAAGGGGCAGAGACCCACTGTTTGTATGGAACGGATAGGTATAAGGATTTTGACCTACTTTAAATCCACTCATTGAAATGCTTGTAAAGCTTGTAACTATTTTTTGTCTATAAATGATACAGAGATGTTTTAATTAAAGAAATATACATTTTAATGATTTGTAGTCTTATTATAAGGCAAAGTGGGTGTTATGAAGTTATGGAAATGCTCTTCTGGCATTTGTATTAGTAGCTTGGTAAGGGGAGTATTTCAGTTACAGCTGTTTTGTGTTTGTGATTTGCAATCAATATTATGGAGATACAAACAGAAATCAAACTCAAAAATCCTTTGAAATAATGCAAATCGGGAGCAGAGCAAACATGGACTCCAAAAACATTAGAGGTAGGAAGGTAGGATCAGGTGCCATGGAGGAGTAAGCATCCCCTTTTGACTGTTCACACCCACGGTGGCTCTATATAGTCATGACCAGACAAACAGAAAAAAATCTTTAAACAATTCAGGGTGTAAATAATGGCCAAATATTCTATCTGAAAAACATCATATTGCTAGGTTCTGTACAGTCTGCCTTTATATCCTCCACCCATCGCAATTGTGAAAGCTGGTTAATCAGCATTTCTAAAAATACTGGCCTGCAATTCATCAATGGTTTTTTTTGGGGGGGGGGCAATGTCTGTGAATTTCTTATGTCACCATTATCCACAAATTCAATATCTTGTCAACAAATTTTCTGTGTATATTTACCTACTAAACAAGAGATGTTTGTAAAACATGCCCCCCTCCCCCCAAATTCGAATTTTTCCAAGTCCAAAAGAGCATAACTCTGTCAAAAATGGCACGATTGTACCCAAAACTGAATTTGACCTAGATATTCATATGATGAATCTGTATACTAAATTTTATTTCAGTATGTGCGACAGTTGCAAAGAAAATGAACAAAAACTGCTAATGATTGGAATTTTTCTAAGTCCAAGGGGCATAACTCTGTCAAATATGGTGCGATCGTACCCATAATAGAACTTGACCTAGATTTTCATGTGATATATCTGTATATAAAATTTCATTTCAGTATGTGCAATGGTTGCAAAGAAAATGAACGGAAACCGCAAATGATTGGAATTTTTCTAAGTCCAAGGGGCGTAACTCTGTCAAAAATGGTGTGATCATACCCAAAACATATTCATGAGATATACCTGTATACCAAATTTCATTTCAGTATGTGCAATAGTTGCGAAGAAAATGAACGGAAACTAAGAGGACCGACAGACCGACCGACATACAGCAGCAAAGCAATATGCCCTCCCTTCTTCGAAGGGGGGCATAATTATGTCCCAATGAATCAACAAAATTTGCTTATCCACAAAAATTGATACCCACAAATAAACTTAATTCCACAGAAACAATAGTCACATGAAAAAGTAAAGATGTACAATACTAAATCAATTTATTTTTATATAAAAACTATATACATTAAAACAGTTCATAAAACTTAATAATTATGCTCAATATTTTAAATAACAAAAAATAACAATGTCAAGAATCATTAAAACATGAATCTGTACAGATCTGAACTTTCATTGGAATATTTACACCTGCAAACATTGACAATCTCAAATTGTAATGAAAATTGATTCTAGGTCGTCAAATATATACAGGCAATATTGCAGTTGCATTGCTTTTTACTACATGTACTTCTAATAAACATTATAGGAATCGAAGTACAAATGGATGAAAAAAACAACACACAAGCAATTGCATTCAATATTTGAAGAACATAATACAAAATAAATATTATAATTATACAGCACCGTTTCTTTAAGAAATCCATTTCATTATCTTCATTTCTGAAAGAAAATCATTCAAAAAGTCTTTTGCACAGTACAGATTGACACATTCTCTATTTATCTTTCTGAGTTGAATCACATTCCACCCCAGCAGATGTGGAACCCTTTGGTGAAATTCTGCCCATGATTTTCTGAGCAGTGGAAAAGGCATAGATGGCTAAAACGGCAAACAGACTGAAGCCCACCGAGAAGAGGCTGGCAAAAAACAGAGCTCCTCCCAAAAGAAAGGTGGCCACTGTAAGGACTGTACCTGTGGAGAAAAGAATATTTTAATGTAAAAAATCTGACCTGGGGGCCATAAAACTTAGACAAGCTCACTCAGACTCTTGATCTCAGTCTCACTTTTTCCAAAAGAATAAATAATGGAAAAGTAAGACTGAGATCAAAAGTGAACTTGTCTAAGTTTTATGGCCCCAGGCTAGATGTACAGGTAATCTTAATTTTCTGCAAAGTTTAAATCTTCAACAAGTGAGTCACTTTTACACCCTTTGAATAATCAGTATCCAGGCACAGATCCAGAAAATTTTTTCCAGGGGGGGGGGGTCCACCACAGTCCCCACAAAAATCCAAACCCAGAAATTTCTTGAAAAGCAAAAAAAAAAAAAAAAAAAAAAAAACTAAAATCGCCCAAACTTCAAAAACCTATTTCTATGTCGATGACTTCTATTGCTTCAACAAACCTTTGACTTTTCATACAAATTTAACACAAATTCGCATTTACAAGGGGGGGGGGGTCTGCATTTTCCGAGAGGGGTCCAAGGTAACTTTTTTCTCGCTTTAGTACAGAAATTTAATAACCTTGCTAATTCCAGGGGGGGCGGGGGCCTGCCCCCAACCCCCCACCTAGATCTGCATATGAGTATCTATAATGATTCCTAATACAAGTAGATTCAAATAAAATATACTGTACATTACAAAACTTCTTAACCAAATAAATTACAAGAGTTCCAATGCAGGCCTGGATTGGGCCTTAGAAATTGACTTGGGTAGCTCAGTAAATAAAGCATGTGACTAGTTAAACTTGGGTCTCAGGTTCAACCTCCTAGTCCAGTCATACATTTTATCCTTTCCTGTTACACATGTATTCTTTTCTGTTACACATATATTACCTTCAACAAATAGAAAAACTGTGAATCCAATGATGAGTGATCCTATGACAAATGCTATAAAGCAGAAGATAGGAAAGCTACACATGGCTATGACTGCTATGATGAAGAGGGTGGATCCAGGATTTTCATAGCTGTAGTCTTTGGCTGACTGCCACTTCTGATCCAGCTCATAATTTTGACAAAATGATTGAAAACAAGTCCCAAACCTCCATTCTGTGTCATCAGATCCACCCATTCTGAAATGTAACAGGGTTATACAAATGTATTCATATTTCCAAGTTTCCAACAGTAGAGTGTGTCCCCCCAAAAATGAGACTTCTTAGATCTGCACTGTATACGGCATGGATCTATGAAGTCTGGTTTTAATTACATTGCATATACAGTGTACATTCAATGTTTCAACAGCAGTAAAACCACAACAATTAATGAATTACAAAGAGTTGATCCTCAAACTTCCCTTTCCTATTTTACAGAAACCAAATATATAAAAGGTTTCTAAAATTTCATTTGACAGATAAAATTTCCACTTTACATGTGCTCCAAGATTCCTGCCAAATGCCAATCAAATGTACCATTGCTTTTTTATATCCCATTTGGAATATTACATGCAAACCTCCAAACATACTAATTATAAGTTTGTATTATGCATTTCAAAGCACTGAGATAGTCAAAGTTAAGGAAGACAAAAAAAAAATTGTGACAAACCTCAGGGTATAAATCACAGGTACTTAATCCCTGTAATTAATTTTTTCAACCCATGTGCTAAGTTTGAAACATGTAATAACACAAGGTATCCAACTGAATTACACATACAGAGTACCCCCACCCCAGAATCGCACTCATATTTACTCTCAGAGGAAATGCACGAACAAACATGTTATAACCATCGTCCTCTACGATAATAGTTAAATCCACACTTTTCAAAAGTTACATCCCTTGGCCGCCATTTTAGGGGATAAACCCATAGAATCCTTACAGCAGCCTTTGTAGTTTTCAGGTTTGTAACTCTGTCATTTGACTGGGAAAAATTGTTGCATAGTGTATACTGATTGTCCCATGTTAAGGCTACCCACACATCCAAAGAAAACAATTTAAATCAAAACACAGTCAGGATTCATCATAGCCCATCCAAATGTTTGGTAGCATAAAGAGGAGAAATGTTGTATCTTTCCCTTTTGACCTTTTGGTTGACCCCGCAAAGGGAAAAAACTTTTGTAAAGTGTGGATTGGTCTATTTTTCAGGTGTAATTTTAGAAACAGATTTTTTAACCAAATATTACCATGCAAGTAGAGATTTTGACACTGAAAGTGTAAATAAAGCATTTATGGCTATATCCTGTTATCTGCAACGCGTTGCTTATAAGTTTTGGGGTACTTCAACTGTATTTGAAAAGATGAATGGTAGTGCAACATTATCAGAAAATGGCAAATTCTCGATCTTTACGCTTTTACGGAATAAGCAGCATGATTTTAAACTATCATAATAAGAAACACACTCACTCACAAAAACAAATGCAAAAGAAATGTAGTTAGCCAATAAAAAGTACCAGGAAGTCGCATATTATCGTATTTTACGCTTTTACGGAATAAGCCGCATGATATTATAACTCCTTAAATACAAACCCACACAAAAGAAATCAAAACCCTTAAATGCAATTATACTTATGAAAGAAAAAGTACCACGAAAACGCAAATTATCGTTCTTTACGCTTTTACGGAATAAGCCGCATGATTTATAAAACCATCCTTAAAAAAAACAAACACAAACAAACTTGAATTCAATAAAACAAAACCTTAAAATGTAGTTTGCAAAGAAAAAGTACCAGGAAAACACAAAATAACACACTCACACCAAAACGAAAGTTAGCAGAGAAAATCGTATGGTATCAATGTTGATAAACTCCTAGAGGAATTACCCCGACTGAATAAAATTAAGTATTTTGTTAATATTCATGATGAAACACGTATAAATATTTTTTCATCACTTTAATTTTTTTTAACACAATATGGAAATTGTTGTTTATTTCGATATTAATTTTTATATTTTGTATTAAATAATCTTTTTTGGTTCTACAGAAAAAGCCACATGAAGGACATATGATATACTTGATAAATAACTATTTCTATATCGCATGTAATTTCCCTTGACTATTTTGTTAACATTCATAGAAATTGTTCTCTTTACTTTCATCTATATGTAAAAAAAAAAAAAAAAAAAAAAACAAATATGACTGCATTCGTTGCGATAGCTATCACATTTTATTTCAATAAATATCCTTTATTATCCTTTTTACGATTTAACCAAATTTCTTGCAAGAAAATACTTTTTTTTGTTCATTATTTCAACTGAATTATTCAGTTGAAATAATGAACACGTGAATTGAATAAAACATTTTTTTTTAAATATTCGACTATCAAAACCATCTTCCAGGAAAATAGTTCTTTTATAACAGAAGTTTAAACAACATAACAATGAAATTCGTCACCTTATACTCCTGTTATTTGCAACGCTCTATGGAGAAATCGATCATTTTACTATGGAGTGATGCGTGCAACGCATGCAAAATAAAATATAGCGCTTTATTCCGTAAAATGTTTTCATTTTAGCTTGATCCCCCCAAAATAACCTAGCCCCATTTTTTCTGATATTAACCCCCCAAGAAAACCCTCTTCCCGGGGAAACTTCCCCTTTATGTACACTAATATAGTTTCAATAGCAGGAAAAAAAATTCGTCACCCTATATATACTCCTGTTATTTGCAACGCTCTATGGAGAAATCGGTCATTTTACTATGGAGCGTTGCGTGCAACGCATGCAAAATAAAATAGCGTTTTATTCCGTAAAATGTCTATATTTTTATCTTGATTCCCCCCAAAAAAGCCAAGCCCCATTTTTTCTGATATAAACCCCCCAAGAAATCCCTCTTCCCGGGGAAACTTCCCATTTATGTACATAATATAGTTTCAATATCAGGTAAATAAAATTCGTCGCCCTATATACTCCTGTTATTTGCAACGCTCTATGGAGAAATCGATCATTTTACTATGGAGCGTTGCGTGCAACGCATGCAAAATAAAATAGCGCTTTATTCCGTAAAATGTCTATATTTTTATCTGATTCCCCCCAAAAAAGCCAAGCCCCATTTTTCTGATATTAACCCCCAAGAAATCCCTCTTCCCGGGGAAACTTCCCCTTTATGTACTCTTAATTAGTTTTAATAGCAGGTAAATAAAATCCGTCGCCCTATATATACTCCTGTTATTTGCAACGCTCTATGGAGAAATCGAACATTTTACTATGGAGCGCTGCGTGCAACGTATGCAAAATAAAATAGCGCTTTATTCCGTAAAATGTCTATATTTTTATCTTGATTCCCCCCCCAAAAAGCCAAGCCCCATTTTTCTGATATAAACCCCCCAAGAAAACCCTCTTCCCGGGGGAACTTCCCCTTTATGTACTCTTATATAGTTTCAATATCAGGAAAATAAAATTCGTCGCCCTATATATACTCCTGTTATTTGCAACGCTCTATGGAGAAATCGATACTTTTACTATGGAGTGATGCGTGCAACGTTTTCCAGAATCAGAGAATTAATATGATAAATCTGCTCCATACTTGTAATTTTAATTATTCTTAGACGCCTTAAAAACATTTCCTTATCATTTGCTTTATTTTCTCAATGAACCTCAAATATACTTGAATGAATTTAATTTGATAAGGATCGGTATACGTTATTTCAATTATTTTCTGTGGTAAAAACTTATATGCAACGCGTTGCAAATAACAGGATATAGCCGCATTTATCAGGAAGGGTATACTGAGTGTAATTCGGAGTTAAATACCTTGTGTTATTATTCTGTACTATGGGTTGAAAAATTCATGCGAGCAAAAAGTGCATGAGCTGTGCTATATATACACTATAGAAACTGCTAGTAACTTGGCTTAGGAAGCCAATATTTGAAAATCGCATACCTGTCAACTCTCCCGAATTTATCGGGAGTCTACCGATTTTTAACCATCCCTACCGACTGTCTACCGAATTTTTCTTTAACTGTTGTTTCTACCGATTTTGAAAAAATCCGGATTTTTTACCTACTTGGGTTCGTAAAATACCGACTAGTCAACACAAAAATGGAGTCCATGCAGTGTTTATCGGTAGCTAATCTGTTTATTGCCACTGATAACAGGTAATCAACAAGGTGTCAACTGTGCTAGCAGATGTAATTGCAGTTGTAATTGCTCCTTATTCTCAATAAAAGTGTATATTTTCAAAGACAGATATGCCAGATGTGAATTTTTTTTTACAGAACATGACGGTAAATAACGATATGGAAGTACTTAATACTTTGCTGCAAATAAGTTAACAAGTACATACCTAAGACAAAACGATATCTCCACAAACAATACAGTGATCAGGAAAGATGTAGCTACAGTACTCGTTTATTATTTTAACAAGGAGAGGGAAACAGTTTCATGAAAGCTAATAAATGAAGAGTCTGGAGATTTCCCCCATAGATTTTGAGATTCAATGTCTTAATAAATCCTGCATCAACACCAGCATATAACAGCCCCTGAAACTACAGAGCAACAAGACAGTGTCTTTAGATGACTTCTTTAAATTTACAAAGCTAAACAGGGTAATAATTTTTAAATAAGAATATAAAATTAGCACATTAAAACATTACTAAAATAAAGTATTATATTTAAAAATTCTGATATATGTTATGAGATTAAAAGAAAAAATACAGGGTTCATGTATTTCATTCATACTAGATTACACATTATTTTAATAATATAAGCATGAAGTTTTGACAATTATTTCATTTTCAGATCTTTAAATCCAGGATACAACTCATATTTCTTAGACTTAGTGAGAACAATCCATTCATACACCTATTGCAAGCTGGAAACTCAGACTGTCTGCAGAACCTTATTAATTTTTCTAATTGCCAAGTTAAACTACACCATTTGCCATGAATAGTATATAAATGATGCTCTTATAGACAGACAGAATAGACAGTGAATATAAATTATTATAATTTCAAAATTAAATCACATTGTACAAGTTTCTAAACAATGTATGAATAAACAAAAAAATTATGATTTAATGATAATGTTAATATTACTAATATAGTTTTATCTTGTAGTAAGTTGTTTATTTTTGTTCTATAAATCGGTGAAATGCGCGACTTTTTGTATTTGCCAAAGGTCGTCGCGCGTTTTCTCCCCCGAAAAATTTTGGCCATGTTGACAGGTATGAAATCGTTAAATTAATAAATAAAGTTCTTCGTCTCCTCTGAATCTATTTCTTTTAAGTTAAGTTTCTGCAATAAGTTACCTGTCTGCCTTATTCTCACGCCAGTCAGGAGGCCTCCAGTTAGTCTAACTTACTGGAACTTTTGAAAACGAAAGTAAAATTTTGTCCAAATAACAATGATATCGAACCCGATCCATATCGGAATTTTTTTCTATGTACATGTAGACATATTTGCTCCCCGCTTTTTGCGGAAACGTGGGAACGTTTAATATCATTCGTTTGTCATTCTGCCTGTCACGAAAACATACAGTAATCTTGGTCATAAAAGATACGACTTGACCCTGAACAGAAGTTTGACCAACTTTTCAAAAAATATAATTTTGGTGAATGAATTAAATTAAAGTATGATATTCAAATTTGACATTTGCATTAGTGTATAAGACCTTTCCAAATCATGTTTTGTCATACGATGCGATGAATTAACTACCCTTGAAGTATTTTAATTTAATCGAACACGGAATTTTGTTGTACTCCATCGTCTTCAAGGGTGGCTAAATCATCGTATTGACCAAAAGCAATTAAAAATAAAGAGTGAAAATAGACCTAAAATATATTAATCTGGAATATCGTAATCTATAGACATATTGAAACAGGATTTCAAAATTAAACTAGAGGTACTGTGAGCAATGAGCTCACTAAATGATACCCCCCGCCTCCCATATGATTATAATGGAAAAGTCCATGTTTTGTTGTGGCCAGGAAACCCAAAATATGTGTCGGATCAAAAAGTAAAATAGGACGTGCACAATGGCAATATGTAATAAAGATTCTGTGAAAGTTTCATTAAATTTCACTCAGTGGTATACGAGGAGTTGCGGATAAGAGATGGGTACCCCAAAGCGTAACAGACGGACGGACAGACGGACGGACGGAAATACCGATTACTATATACCCTCCCACTTTTCAAGCGGGGGGTATAATAAGAATCAAAATAATTAACATATTACACGGTGTAGTACCTTAACGGCTGCTATCGGAACAAAACCGCGTTCAATGTTGCTATTCGAAAATTGTACGGCTGCTAGCAGAAATAAATTTGTTGAAAACTCTTAGAACAAGTTGTAAAACAGTGAAATTATGACCCCAAATCAAGATAGTCTCTGAAAAGTCCGGGTGCACGGAACAAGTAAGGTATTTCTATAGATGTTGTCATGTGTAATTTGCAGAATAGCCCTCTAATAATTTAGAATTAGTAAAATTTCCGAAGCCTGTACCAAATCTTAAGTCAATAAATACCCAGTTTTCATGCTTTTTTATATCATCTATTATTCAGATTGTGGGTATTTTAATTGGTATTTGAAGATGCGTCAATCTATAATAATACTGGAAATAATTTTAAAAAATTGAATAGTGTATTTTAAAAGAAATTTTTGGATAAAACACGATTTTTTAAAGTTACGGTTGCTATCAGGGTCTTAGCATATATTGCACCGGAATAATAACTGAAAACATCGCATCGGCTGCTATTTGAAAATTTTCCTTATTAACAGAGATATGAAACAAACTTATGGCAGCAAATGTCTAAAATATACATTTTAAATATCACAATTTGCATGTGAAATAAGATGTCTATATATGTAGTTGACTTTTACCATCTTAACTCAGGGGTGTAACTTCGATTTTGAAAAGGGGAGGGGGCAGAAAAATTCAAATCTAGTTTTAAAAAGGCTGACATGGAAAAAAAGGAAAATTGTCAAACTTCTTTCAGTATCATTTTTTCTCACGCGCTACCGCCTACCCTTCTTTGACTATACTGCAATAAAAAAGGGGGACTTCAATGAAAATTTTCAATATAGTAAAAGTTATGCTTGGCAGAAAATCAACAGGCCTTTCAATGAACATTTTAGAAAGTAAAGGTTATGCTTGGAACAAAATGTGGAGGGAGCGCGTCATCGAATTTAATTTTTTGCAAAGTAGAGCTGATTTTCGAAAAAAAATTGCTAAACAAATAAAAAGAAAGCTTCACGAAATGACCCGTAAATCAATTTGAAATAGCATATGATATATATTTACAATCAATCACAATCATTTCTTTAAAACCTTTCTTAAGTAGAGTTTTTGGGGATTTTTGTAGCCTACATGTATACTTAAACATGTATAATATCTAGTAAAGTTAAAGTATAAGCTTTGTCAAATATTTCTAATTCCATATTTCTTTTTCGAAGTACGGTGATGCATTGGTTCATTGAACGACTAACATGCAATATTCAAAACATCACCCCCACCCCCACCCCCCTCGCCCCATTAGGCTTTTAAGAGTTCTTTAAATTATATAGGTAAGAAAAGACAAGCCTCTCCCCCCCGCCAGGAAAGAAAGCGTGGTTTTTACATTAATGTTTTCCACTTCTTTTTACTGTCGAATTTCTTGTAAATTGACTTAATATATTCTCATTAAAATTTGTACTTGAGTAATTATCGACGTTGGACAGCAAAACTTTATAACTTTATGTGAGCTTTATTCATTTTTCAATTCATATTTTTTTTAAAAATCAGATATAGAGATTGCTAATTTGTAGGTTTATGTTTGGATTTGTAGAGGTGGGTTGCGTAAATATTTGAGACAAATAATCTCTCGTGGTTTGTGAATCGATAATTATGATTTTTTTAAATTCCAAATCGTAAATTTAATCAATCTGGCATAATAACATAGCTGGAATATAATAAATTGAATGGTCACATGATTTAATGGCTAACACAAAACAGTTGTGTGTGTGTGCATGTGCCATAGACGTCGGAAGCAAATTGAAAGATGGGGGGGGGGGGGGGGGCTAAACCAGGTCCAATGAAAAAAAGATTAGCCCAAGTTTTCAGTGCCTATATTATGTCTGTATCTTTGCAAAAAAAAAAATGGGAAGGCTTAGCCTCTCCCTGTTCCAAAGCCCATGTGTACAGGGTACATATGTATACCGGTACATACAAACTCCACTACAACATACATACATTGTACATATAAATATACGATTAATTTGTCATTATATGATCGAAAGTAACATACACGACAAGTCAATCATTAAGAAAGAATATACGGTATATATATAGTTCTCTTAAGGAACTATAATTGCATAACATATGTAAATTGAAGATATGATTTCATGAAATTTGAAAACTTAAACCTATTCAAATAGTAACTGGTGCCCTTGTCTAATAGTAGCCGTAACACAAGATTCTCCTGATAAAAACGCTCTAGCTTGTAAGAAACCCATGAAAGTGGACAATGATATAAAATAACCAATAATATTTACAAATACACAACGAACTGTCGATTCATTTTTATCAAATATCTAAAAGTTTTGACGCAATTTTAATATATTTCTTACGTGCATGTAAATGTGTCCAACACTTTCGACAGTTTTCGTCTTATATATCAGCAATCCTTCAATTCATTAAAATTCTAAATATACATGTTAGTTTCAAAATGTATGTAACGTTCCGTAAGGGTGAAATACCAAGCGGCTAAATTTTAATAATTGAATTATTGACCATTTTGTTGAGCCAGCGAAGAAAAATACTTACAATTTCGTCCATTTTTTTTCCACTAGCAACCGCTCAATTTTCAGATAGCAGTAACGAAGGCGCAATTTTTCTGATAGCAACCGTTTAGGTACTACACCGTGTATTAAGGCGTCGTTAGCAAATTGAAAGTGGGGGGGGGGGGGGGACTATAAACCAACAAAAACACCCCAATTCAATTTTCAATAAATAATGTATATATTTGCAGAAAGGGATTAAGATAATTTGTAAGAATGTCAATGTAAATTGAATAAATAAAATAATACTATTACCAGGGACCTATATACTAAATTATAGTAAATAGGTCCCTGCTATTACTTAAAAAAATCGTATCAGATGTGCTAAAAATAAAATGTGATTCAAACTAAATAAAGAAATTTAAGTAAGGTGGACCCTCTTTCGAGTGTGAAAGAGAGCATTACTCACAATTAGGTCTGGTCACCTTGATGCTATAAATAGAATATATCAATTGACGTACCTTGCTTTTCATTGGGTGCACTTTCATCGTTTGATCTTCGGTCACGTGTTCATTTTGGTGGGAATTTTTTGTTGTTCTGTCGTTTGAATGTAGCCCCGCTGAATGTGCGTGTGAGAAGTTTCTTTCGAATCCTTTGTGACATGGATTTTTTTTAAATTTTACTCCAGGTGAGTTGTCTTGAAATAAATGCATTTTGTATTGTTCTAAAGTAAAAGTGCAAGTTTGATAGCTTTTTTGGTTCTAAACTTGTGAGACTGAGTTTATCAGTATACTGTGAACACAAGAGAGTTTGCCAATGTTTAAATGATTTTTCCTTATTCATCAGATGTCCTGGACGATGAGGTGAAATGGGAAATGCTCTCTTCATTCGAGCAGCGATCCCAGGAGAAATGTTTCTCTGCAGTCCTCAGCAGGTAAGATTACATGGCAGTTACAAAGTGAACAAAATCGTCACTGTTTTAATTGTTCTTGGCAGTTACTTGGAATATGAAGGTCAGACCCATATGAAATCATTTAACCGTGGCGGGGGCAATATCAACCAACTAAAAATACAGAAAAGGTCATCAAGCGTTTTAACTGAGGGAGTAAAACATATAGTAGCAAAATATAATGTATTACTATTGCTACATGTTTCAGAACTATTAATAGTATGTGTCTATAATATAATATTATATAAATATTGCATGTAGTTGAGTGTAACATTGAAAATTTTCACCCCAAGAAAACCATTGTCAACCGAGGCGCAGCCGAGGTTGACAATGGTTTTCGAGGGGTGAAAATTTTCAATGTTACACTCAACTACATGTAATATTTATTATATTATACTGAATGTTTTATACAAATACATATAACAGTGAACCGTGCGCGCATAAATTCTACGCAGTCGCTATTTTTTGGAATACCACCCGTCGTCAAGCAATGCTGACTGTTGCTACGCTGGAGGGTGTGGCTTCATTATTCAGCGGTAGTAGTGTTTTTATACAAATGTTTCTCGACCAATCAGATTCAACCAATTTTACATGAAGTATAATATAATATAATATATATCAGCAAAATTAATAGGGGGGCTTTCTTACAGCCATATGAAGATAACAAAGAGTACACTATGGTCATAATTTCTTTCT